AAAGTATGTGAAGGAGAAAGAAGGGAGGCGTCAGCAGTAGCCTGTTTTCGCTTACCCGCCCTGCTGTATGCAGCAAGTAAGGTGACCCGGCTGATGGCACCACGCGACGGCCGATTTGGCATGAGTTTATTTGTGTATGTGCTATTCATGGTTGTACGTGGGCTGGGATACTGCCAGGGCGCTCACGCCTAGACAGGAGGACGATTAGGGTCCTCAACCAAAGCCTTTGGCTCAAAAGCCTAACCGCAAGGCAGCGGTGTTTGGTGGGTAATGCAAATGCATTACCATTTCTACGGAACAAGTCGGCACATGTTCCAACCCCCAACCTGGAGGGCCAGGAAACTGTGTTAGTCAGACCTCTAACCATTGACCAACCTGGTGTGAGAGACTCTGTGAGTGTCGCGGGACACTCTCCAGTATAGCTCAATGAATCGCTGAGGTGCGCAAACTGTCACACCACGGTAAGGTCTAGTCTCTTCGTGACGTCCTCAGTGCGCAGCGGCCAGGTTTCTGATCCGTATAATAATATGGAGCGCACCACATCGTTGTAAACTCGATCCTTGATGGATAAGCTGATGTCACGTCTACGCCACAGGTGACGCAGGTTCACGAATGCTGTTCTAGCCTTCCCAATCCGGATTGAAATGTCATCTTTCGCGAGACCATCAGGACTGATACAACTGCCTAGGTAAACACATTTGTCTACTGACTCAGTCGGTTCCACAAGCGTGAGACTATGGTTTGAGGCTACCCAGTCTTGTGGTAGCGCTTTACACTTTGCCACTGTGAATCGCATGCTAAATCGTGAGGCAGGATTATTTAAGTTATTCAGTATTGTTTTCATTACCACCGCATTAGATCCCAGAAGAACTATGTTGACTGCCTACTCGATATCTGTGAGCAGACGCCCCGGGAGCACTTTGACCCCACAGGCATTGGAGGCTGATAATGAGTCTTCCATTATCGTATCGATGACGAATTTGAAGAGGAAAGGTGAAAGAGGACAGTCTTGCATGACACCACTTGATGCGGTGAACTCAAGCTCGAGTTTCCCGTATGCCTTCACACTTCTGCGGGAGTTGGCGTCCAGCACGTTAAGGGGGCCAAGAACTTACGAGGTACACCTCTGCTCCGTAGACGGTCCACAGAGTCTAAACCGATTTTCAGATCAAGGAACACAACTGTTGTTAGATGCTGAAAGATGCGAGCTAGCTTATGGGTTAGAGCATGAATTCACTGGTCGGAAGATCTGTAGTTCGAACCCGACCTCTGCATCTCGGCTTCCCCTGTCTAGGCTTGCGCAACTTGGCAGCATCTAGCCCTCGTGCTTCCTTCGGTTGGCGTGGCAGTTGGACACCTGAAGGTTGCTACAGCTGAACGATTTTTTTTTATTGCTGGAAGCAATGTTGCTGTTCCAGAATCTGTCGGAGGGTGAAAATGTGATCGATGCACCCACCTACAAGACGGACCCCAGGTTGGTTTCCGCAGCTCTGTCTCTCCCTGTGTTCAGTTAACCGTCCAAGAATAAGACCGAAGAGGACCTTCAATGCCACAGTTACCAGACTGATGCCATGGTTGTTGTCACACAGCACCCGCGTACCCCTTTCGGAAGATAGGAAAAACTGTCGACATACGCCATTCTGGAGGCACATTCTCTTCGTTCCATATAGCACGAATAAGGTTTGTCAGATGTTTCGCCAGGGTTCCTCCGCCTTCGTTGAAGAGGACTGGATGCAGACCATCCGCGACTGGTGGCGTTTCAGTACCGATGTTTGATACTCTAATTCTTCTTCCAACGAGCAATTAAGATTTACATTTCATTGGCCCGTATGCACTTTCGAAGTGTTCTGTCCATCTTTTCAGTCGACATTTTTGCGAGTGAATTAATGTGCCAATTTTTTTCACCCATCGTTTAACTGACCGCTGCTTTCCTAGGGCCAGCCAACCGTATCAGTTGGTATAGGGCATGGCTGTTTCTTGTAGAAGAAGCCTTCTTAATCTTCCGAGCTTTTGACTACCACCGGAGCTCTCGGTCTTTCTTTAGGCTTCTCACTATTTAGCGTTCGAGAGATTTGCGTGCGCCATCCTACTCGTCTATTGGTATGGATTTCATGGTTTTAGTCATGGATATCAATAGCGACGACATCCAGTGGTCTTGTGGTCGAATCGAAGAAGTCGGACAGACATAGCTTCTTTAACATTTCGCCACCCTTCGTCAATATGCTCATTACCAGTACAGTACCGTGGAGAGTTGTTAGGAAAGCTCAGATTGTGCTCTGGTAGTTTATCGAAGAGGGTGGCTTGGCATGCTACTTGCTGACTTGCGAGGGCCTGAGGAAAAACAGACCGTCAGGCGTGCACGTACCATGGCGTGATCGGAATCAAGTTGTGTGCTCCAGAAGGAATGGCAGTCTTGAACTGTAGCTCTCCATCGGTGGTTAATGAACACTTGATCCAACTGGGCCCATGGTTGATTTGCACTTGGCCGCCAGGTTACTGGATGCGAACGCGTGTGCTGAAATTTTGTACTTGCCAGAAACAGTTGATGATCAGCACACAGTTGGAGGAGTCCCTCTCCGTTGTCTGTGCGGCGAGCATCGACCGCTCAAATGTGATTCCAAGGAGCTCAGACGACCGGCCTTTGCACTCATATCACCTGCAAGTATCACAATATCAGTGCTTCTTGCATGGCGAACTAGCCCGGATAACTCTCGATATAAAGTATCTTTTTTCAGCGTCAGAACTGTGGTCCGTTTGGGAGTCTGCCAACACTACAAACAGGCACCGCTTTTTGTGGCGAGAGGCATCGAGCTTGATTGAGCTAGATAGTCGAACAGCGCGAACACGACTGTTAACTGAGATCCAATCCAGAAATGTGCGTTACATTCTGGGGCTGAGTGCAACTCCTACACCATATATTCCACGGGTCATTGCTTCTGGATCCCCGGGCACACGCAGAGTGTAGAATATGAAAGGCCTGGATTCGTCCTCGGCGTTCTGAGATACATAACCACGCTTGGGTCTTGTATGCATGTTTCGGAGACACAGCGTACATCAATTTTAAGGGAGTATAGGGTTTCAGCGAGCATTGGCTGTTTGCCAGTTTGACAGAGCACGGAGGTTGAAAGCTCCTATATAGATAGGATTTCATGGATTTAGGTGTTACTTTGTTTGTTGTTAATAGGCAGTGAGGAGCATAATACCCTCGGTCAGGTAATTGACAGTCAAGTCACCGAGTGACGTTTGTTTGTGTGGTGGGAAGAGGTTGGATAGGGACATCGGTGGACACAAAACTGCGCGGCAAATGATACTTCCCGGCTGCCCAGGCCGAGGAAGGGGGTTATGTTGAGGTACCCCACCTTGATCCTCTTGCTCAAAATTCTGAACGGCGACGCAGCGGTTGTTAGGGTTTTCTTGGGGGACCGTTCCGGGGGGTAGTGACAAGAGGTTGGATAGGGACATCGGTGGACACAAAACTGCGCGGCAAATGATACTTCCCGGCTGCCCAGGCCGAGGAAGGGGGTTATGTTGAGGTACCCCACCTTGATCCTCTTGCTCAAAATTCTGAACGAACGGCGACCGGTTGTTAGGGTTTTCTTGGGGGACCGTTCCGGGGGGTAGTGACTCAATTCTGATCCACTCGGCTGCAAGGGGCCAGTCTGTCCCGATGAAGCAGGTAGGGGAGGTATGGAGAGACTACTCAAGTTCATGTTAACTGGTACATCGGGACCCATTTGTTCGTTTATCCTTCTCTATTTTTTCCATATTACAGTGGTAGTCTAACTCTCAAGTTCGTCACCGAAACCAGATTTGTTTCTCTCGTCAACTCAGCCCAGGCAATCACGCACACATTCTCGCTCACACCGGATATCGTGCGTGGTGTGTATGGGGTGATCCGTCATCCAAATGAGGTCAGGTCAGCACATGATGAACTGATCTGCTCTCATTGAAATCTGCTAGGAGCTTTCGGGTATCATGTTTTATTATTCTGGCACCTGTCTTAAATTCATTATAGTCAGCTCGTCAACTTGTATGAATAGAAATGGTCATTGCGTTTGACTTCAATATCGCTTCTTTCAAGTGACTGACTGCACCTCAGCACTGGAACGCCCCGCGCTGTAATCACTGCTTCGGTAAGACGCCCTCGAAAGTGCGTCTCTGTTTAGGTGAGAGGCTTGGTTTTTGTGCACATGAAGACCTATTATCGTTCATCGTGTGTATGCAATAGGCCGGGGTGAAAAATCAGCGCAGCCTTTTGACTACCTCAAAATGATTCTTGGAAAAGCTTGCTTTCGTGAGGGTTTGCTTGTGTTGATTCAGGGCCATCCGTTCTGTGTTCCTACCAGCGGCAAATCATTCAGTGTAGAGTAATGAGAATTCCTCGAGGTAGTAATTTAGCTCTCCAGTGGAAATATGGAGTCTGAAGCCAAGAAAAAGAGGTCAGTTGCATAGGAGAGGCTCATATGACTGACGACCGTATGCCACGTGTTATCGTGTTCTTGTGCCAAGCATGCGAAGGATTCATGCGGACGTTACTCGTCAAATTCTATATGCATACCTTTTCCTGCATACCCGACTCGCTAGAAGGATACATCCACTTGTTTCATATAAGGTTCCACTTATACGTGAGTTCCAACGGTCCCAAGCAGAATTCGAAGCTGCGCGTACTTCGGATGTTGGTGATGTTCAATCGGCCGTTCTTCCTTGGCATCCGGACGTCTCTGGGCTGACCGATGAAGCGATGATCGAAAAACTCAAAATGCGCATTCTCGCTCTGAGCAAGCAACCAAACACCTTTCTTCTCGCACCACCAGCAGAGGCTCAGATTGCTGATTCGTTTTCGGCAGATAACGTACAACTGGCTAAGGCTCTACTACGAGAGGATCCTAATTTGGAAAGCATGCGCTACAATTTAGTGCCGAAACGGTATGTTTAGTTTTTTTTGCCCTACTTTTTCCATATCGTATAAATGACACTTGGCCCCTAATGTAGATTTCTTCATAAAAGGACTTTTATCCAAAGCTCATTTAGGTCGCTCGTCTTGTCGTACAATGTTAAAACGGACCTCCTCAAATTGGAGACCAATTCTTGTGATCTTCTGCACCTGCCTTGGGGACATTCAGAGCTCGGTTGAAATGTGAGCTTACTGGCCTGAAGGTTTGTAGGTCGAACCCAACCCTAGCGTCTCCATTGCTTCTGTCTAGGCTTGGGCGACCTGACAGAATATCAGCCCTCGTACTTCCTTCGGGCAGCGTGTCAGTCGGTCGCCGAAAGGGTATTCCAATTGAACGAGACCATGTTTTAAGAAGGCGTCTGACAACTTCTTATCGAGGTACGTACGAAGATGTTAGGTCTTCGCAACCAGGAGGACAGAAAATAGTGCGGAATTTATTCTGCTGACCAAAGTAAACCTCCTGCTAATAGACCATTCCAAATCCGACTAAAAGATCACGATATCGAGTTGTCTATGCACAGCCGCCAACAACCCAAGGATCGAATGTTCAGCTTGTGGCCTTCTTGGTAGTTAGAATGTTTCGCGAAGGTCGCGATTGTTACTGGTTAGACCTCAATGTCCCTAGTATAATTTCTGTTTCAATTTCAAGGATTATAGTGATCCAAAACGTTTGTTTGTCTCGCGGCTATGATCAAATTCAGTGGTTCTCGTGAAGAAACAAGGGGCGATATGCCAGTTTATCATTTGCGATATCGGACAAAACAAAACAATGCCCTATTTATCGGAAAAGAAAGCGCTAGGCAACCTCAAAGTAAGGTAATCGTTATTCCACTAGTGGCCGACGCAGCCACTTATCGCCCTATGCAGCAGAACCAAGTGCAATATTCTGAAGATATGTACGGCTGCGTCATTTTAACTGGCCAGATTCACACTTTTTATGAAAGGCGTCTCAGGCTTTTGGGTAGAGGTGTGGCCAGTTCCCGAGAAACGTATCCGAGAGGTGTCCATATTGAGACTTATCAGGTGGATGTATGATGTACATGTGTCCTGTTCCTCTACACACACCTGCTTAGACTTAACGAGGGTGAAAACACTTGCGTGAGTTTTGGGGGCACACCGTACATTTGCTTTATACTTGCATACAGTTCCAACCCATGGTTGGTTAGACGGCGCCTTCTGGTTATTCAAATGACTGTCGGATTCGGTCAACGGGTGGACAAACCAAGAATCGAACCCAAATGCGTCTTAGGTTTTCTCCAAACAGCACTTGGGTTTCTCATTATGTTTGTCCTGCATGGCGTCGTTAGACTGTACATTTTGTTCGATCCCGTCGGCATATCACAAACTCGTGTGAGTAACCTAACATGTGAGTTCAGGTTAATGCATGTTTTTTCGTCCTCTTACGGCATTGAACTGTGGTACCCCTTCTCATCGCTTGCAAGAAAAAACAAAGTTATTCACAATTTTTTCTCCCCACACAGAATCCGAGAGGATTTGTTTTGGCGAAACTACTTCTATCGTGTCTCGGTCGTTCGGCAGTCATTCCAGCTTTCGGCAATGTCAGGTTCTGCTGTTGATGACGCTCCCGATTTTGTTTGCATTGAAGAGAGTACGTTATCATGATTCCACCCCAACTTTTTCATGAGGTAATGTCCAATTATCTTAAACGGATGGATCTGACCGCCTCAACTTGCAGCTTTCAGTTCGCCGGATGTTGGAACTCATCTTTTTGCATCTGGTTTGATGATTAAACGTTTCGTCTGAAATCGAAGAGATATCAGCTTGGGTTCATACAGTTTTCAAAAACTATCTGGCATCTGTTAATGTGGTTGGTCCCATGTTGGTCCATTTCGGTCTGTGTTGCGTTGCGGTCTGCTAGACAATCACATAAATATATCAGGCAATATTTGAAAACGATGTAAGCCTAAGCAGCTAAGGAGGAAGTATTCACGGTTTATTCAAGCTGCTAAGTTAGACGAACCGATCAGCAAACCCTAGTTCCTCAATTTTCAGAGGAACACAGGGGGACGGGAAATCGTGAAGTAGAACTTCACACTTGGCGTTCCAAACGCATGCCACAGCATTGGATCACCTACAAAGTACTTTGCGTGGACAAATAGTCGTCAAAGAACATAGCTATGTTGTCCGCATAATCCGATTCCATTACTCTCTCTCTCTCTCTCCGGACGTGATTTCCGTACCTTGATCCAAGTTCCCTCGGAGTATGCACTTCGTTATGACGGCGACGACAAAACTGAAAGGAAAAGTGGACAGCCCTGACTAACTTCATTGGTTGTCAGGATATTACAATTCGTCTTCTGTTGTACACCTTAACCCGACCGGAGGTATGGCAATAAAAGATGCGAAGAACGGTTCCGAGTTTTAATGGCACCCCCCCCCTGGCCAAAAATATTCAGGAGAGCTAATCTGTCGAAGGATGTTTTAAAGGTGATGAAAACCGCTATTTTTAGTCAGCCGTATAAGAGGCGCTGCTCAAGCACTTGGCTTAATATAAGGGTGTGACCAATGCAGCCTCTTTCAGGTCGAAATCCTGTTGCTCTCGAATTTGCACCTCACGTGCCGGAGATCGCCGCCGTAATTTAAAGGAAGCCGGTAGCCGTGTTTTGACAAGCGTGAGATTTATACCCCTACGATTGCAGCGGTGTGTTTCGTGTACCCTTTTCGAGAACGGTAAGACTAACGATTGGTCCGAACTCTCTACCACACGTTCTTGTTCCCAAATACGTACGAACAACCGGGTCGAAGCGGAGCATAAATGTTCTCCATCTGTGAACAGCACTAGGTAAACTCATCTGGTCCAGTATCCTGATGGCACCTCAATGCCGAAATGTATATCCGTACTTCATCCACTGAGCGGATAAAAGCTCCCGTACCCCGACTCACACAGAGCGGGTCGAATGAAAAGTAGTTACAGGCACAGATGACCCACTGATCTGTTGTTGTTGCTAAGACTATACCACACCTGGATCTAGACGCTGGTCTTTATTGTATATTAGACTTCCAATGTCGATTTTGATTAAGTCACCTACGGAAGGTCTTTGAGATCCTGTTTTGTGGATTGGTTGGAACATCTTCCATGCATTCCCAGCTGCTCTAGCCTATTTCCTTTCTTGAGATCTCTGGTTCTACCACACCTCACTGTTCACACACGGGCTACATTTGAGCTGTCGTCTAATCGATCATCTAGTCGCATTGTGCTTCATGCTAGAAGGGTTAGAGTGCCTCTCATGAATAAGTAATTGTGAGCTTTTAAGATCCAATGGCATCCGTGTACGAGCTCGGTAACACCGTTTGGCCGTGACTCTATCATCCCAGTTGAGGTCGTCCAAGGAGGCCGCTTGTAATGCATAGCTTAGTAGTCTCTGGTACTACTTTCCAACTTGTGGCTCACAAATGTGCTGAAGAATAGGAGACTCGACTTTTGAGTTCGCTGGGAAGTTTTAATGAAAATCTGCACCGAACGAGAGCTTGATCTGGTTCGACTTGCGCAGGCCAGAACGATCGGCGGTCATGGGTTGAACCGCGACATCATCAATTCGACCCCAAGACTGACCGGTAAGATGGCACAACAACGCCCACTACATCTAAACCCAGTACTGCTGAGAAACAGCTAGGGATCAGCAACGAAAAGCCGTTCAGCATTACTATTGCCTTTTGCTTCCAAACATACCGCAAAGGTCGCTTCTGATAACCTGGAGTGTCCCATCTGTGTGTTGAAACCTCCCGCTGTTAGGACTATATCCGAGCTCATTGTGATGGAGAAGAGGGTGCTCAGTTCTCGGTAGAATGTGTCTTTCAGTGGAACGTCAGTGCATAAATAAACAAATTATGTTCAGTAGTTCGACCAGTGTTAGTTTTTTTCGAAGTAGAAAGTCGGACAGCACAGAGGCACCTGTTTACAGTCGGTCTATGAAGCTTCGGCTCGAGAACTTGAGACTATATCTACGCCGGCGCGATTGCAGTAGACGTCAGTCGATAAAGTTTCTAGAGTACGCGCAGGAGCAGCTTGTTGGTCACTCTGCCTAAGAGCCCTCACGTTAAAGACTGCAATAAAAAGAGGAGAGTGGGCCTGAATAGCGGGCATGGAGCTGTAGATGTGAGCGGCGACGTGGTGTGTCAATTCCACAGGTGCCCGACTGAACTGTCTATAGCGAGGATCTACGTAGGAATGAGTGTGGCGTGGAATAGGACGGTGGTTAAGAAATAATAACGAAGGAAGATAAGAGACATCAGCAGTCCAGTTTTTACTCATTCGTCCTGTTGTATCCAGCGAGTAAGACGACCCAGCTGATGTCACCACAGTGCTACTTTTATCCGTAAACCTCATAGTTGTATGTGAGTTGAGATACTGCCAAACCTATACCGGAAGACGATTAGGTTACTCAACCAAAGTTTGTTGTTCAAAAGCCTGACCGCGAAGTAGTGGTGCTTGGCTTGGCACCGATCAAGTAGCCAATACTCAGGTCACACCCAAAACCAACAACTCACCTGGTATGATGCTATGAGTGTCGCACGGATAACCCCTCAGTGGAGCTCAGTGGCTCTGTCATGGAGGCCCACGGATAACCCCTTAGTGGAGCTCAGTGGCTCTGTCATGGAGGCACACAAACGGTCGCTCCACGGTAAGTTCAAGTGTCATCGTGACAAAAACGGAGGTACACAAACAGTCGCTCCGCGGTAAGTTCAAATGTCATCGTGACAAAAAGTTCCCACAACCGGTTCGGGATTCGTCTTCTGAGCAAGCCGTCGTAATTTTATTCCAAAGTCGATCGAAAATGCTATAACTCATTTGAGTTAGTGGAGTTTAACTTACGAACTTTGGTGCAGATAAGACGATAGGTTGCATTAAGAAAATCTGGAACCATTGAGTACATACACTTAGCGAGATGGCTCAGTGGCTAGAGCGCGAATTTAGTGACTGGAAGGTCCGTGGGTCGAACCCGACCTCTGCCTCTCGACTTACCCTGTCTAGACTTTGACCACTTGGCAGCCCTAGTGCTTCCTTCGGGTGGCATGACAGTTAGGCGCCGAAAGGGCGCTTCAGCTGAACGTAGCACCATATTGTGCTATCTGTCAACGGTCTCCGAACTATGCGCAGACATCTAGTGGTTGGCCGGCAAGTCTGCCTTGGCTAGTCCTTTCCTGGTACATGCTTTGCATGCTATTGCAGACGACTGTAGGGTTAACGGTTTGCTTACGCCGTTGTTTGGTGAGTTCTCCTATCGATCGGCTACTTGTCACCTACATGTAACCACTAGCATGTGGTCTAATTTATTCACCCGTTGTCGTTGTACATTGTGAATGCTTATATAGATTTTGTCATTTCAGTCATTCCGTTGGTTTTCTCCACTGCGTGTCTTGCAGTGCTGACAATACCGACTATCTCCGAAAATTGTTGTCTACTTGAAAAGCTCGGGTCGATTGTGTTCCGCGTAATTCTTGCCTCTGCGTTCATGTGTGTCGTCTGTCTTGGATTGCTCCAGTTTCGTGCGGCCCTACTCCCTCAGAATGTTTTCATTTCACCTGTCATCACACAAAACTTGATCGATGCCAAACCGATAACAGTTCGCTTCAGTACCTGTCTGTGGGCCGTTGCAATTTTCGGTGTGCATTCTCATCGAGCTGCATGATGCTTAATGAACTGTCGTACAGTGTATGACGAGGCAGTATGATATCGTTTGCGTCACCTATCAAGTCGACGCATTTCCAAGCAGGAAGTAACAAACACACCACTGGTCTTCACCTATCATTGCTCTCCTCATCTGTGAACGAAACTTAAGTAGTTCGAACTACCGTAGACCCCTGCACTGTTTGAAGCAGCGTAACAAACTCACCACTGGTCTTCACCTATCATTGCTCTCCTCATCTGTGAACGAAACTTAAGTAGTTCGAACTACCGTAGACCCCTGCACTGTTTGAAGCAGCTTCTGTTGTTGTGCCCCGACCTGAAGTTGCTACCTTGACGTGGTGGTGCTGCTAACACTAATGACAATAGGCGAATTGCACCCAGTTATACGTTAAGTTGGTGTCAATGTGATACTTAATGGGATCTTTCGTCCATGATATTCTTCAACTGGGTGCCATGCACAACGACAGCCTCATGTTTCAGTTGTCACGATATTTGAGATATCACAGTATATCTTGAAATGAGACTGATGAAAACTTTGACAACCCTCTACCATCTCCGCCGTTCTTGAGGCTCATCAGCTAGGCGCAGTCTTCGAGTTCCCATCAACCGTATAAATCTGGTTGAATACCAGTTGTACACAAATGACTGATTTGACAACCTGTTGTATGACTCCTGACCCGCTCCAGTGCCTGGTGCCGCAAAAAGACTCACAGAAGGGAACACAACAGCTATGTTCCGAACAAGCGAGTGCGAGAGTGTGAGTGCGAAAATATAACAGCCTCAAGCTACTTATTGGAGGGACACTGTCCGAAATTGGTCGAATTTCGACGCACGCGGTCTGGCTTTGGTAGGAGGCTGTGACGCGCTGCATATTGAGGAGGCGTTGTCTGACCTTGATCAACGCTAACTCGCTCTGTCTGGGTTTGATACAAGGCTGTGAAGTGCTGCATATTGAGGGGGCGTTGTCTGTCTGGTCAACATCTAGGGGAGCCGAGAGCCTCAGTANAGATTTCGAGATTCAGTGGTTTCTTTCAGGAATCTGACCTTTCTGACACGAAATGTATCCACTCGCAAACTAGAGACTAAACTTCGATGTCTCGAGTATCGCACCGGCTGATGCGCCCATGCGTAGTATACTCAGTTGAAGAATATCATAAACGAGAGATTCAGCTGGGATTCAATCTCCCCTTAAATCCACATCAATAGGTAAATAATTGTATTTGGCGAATTTCATACAATTTGGGTTCACCTAGAACATAAGGTTGACGGAAACTCGGGGACTGCGCCTACCTGATGAGTCCCAAGAAGGGCGAAACCGGTCATGGGCTGTCAAAGAATTTCCCATAACCTTATGAGTGGTTTCTTTCAAGACTTCAAATTTAGTACATAGCTTTTTGTTCCCTTGGGTCTACGCCCGTTTTCACTTTTCAGGTTCAGTCTGGAATGAACCGGAATTAGGAAACCAGGAATCCACCGACAGTGCTCCGAACTTTTCAACTGAATCCAACAAATCAACGCCAGAGAAAGGTAAAAAGGAAGCTTCAGGAATGACACGCCAAAAATGCCCCAAGAAACGGAAGTCTAAAGCCTCGCCAGCGACAGAACCGAACGTGAAAGTGCCTCCAACTTCGGTGACTTCAACAGGTATGTAAAGTAGTTGCAAGTAGTTGTAAAGTAGTTGGAAATAACTTTGATTGAGCGGGTTCAACGTTAGATTGTATGGAGGGGGGCTTAATTCATAGATCTGTGCCCAAACCGAATCGCTGTGCCCCACCCCCAACGGTAGACAAGGTTGGTCGTCAAGTAGGTTCCTGTTTGATGGAAGGGACAATGCATTTCAGACACGTTGATCAAGGTTCAGTGTAGTTTGAAGGAACATATGGTTGGCGTTGCGATTTTGTAGTACGTTCGTCTACGTTATGTGGTGTTTTCTGACCTCAAACTTTTGGTTGACGAGTGGTTGCTAGCGTATCTGTCCAACCAGAGAATAAGATAGCCTTTGCAGCTACCTTGCATAAAAGGTCCTTTAGCCTGAGTGAAAATCGACTCTGATTGCAACTTCTCGAACGCTGCTCGCGCCTTGATTATCGGCGCACAAACTTCACTACTTATCGTACAATTACGGTTTGTGCAGCTGCCAAGATACGTGAACCAATCAACGAATTCAAACTACCATTCGGAAGTTTCAGAAAAGTACAAAGGAAAAGGAAAACTTTAGAGGTGAAAAACGCGTGTCAAAACATGATATCACCTCTGAGATTCTGGTTAAATTACTTTGCATAGACCAACCAAATAACGTCAGCATATCGTTCATCTGTAGAACCCTTTCGGTGCCTAGCTGCCATGCCACCCGAAGGAAGCACGAGAGCTGGGATACTGCCAGGGTGCTCAAGCCTAGACAGAGGAAGTCGAGAGGCAGAGGTCGGGTTTAAATCACGAACCTTCCGGTCAGTAATTTCGCATCCTAACA